AACAACAACAACAAATAATAGCCAGGTATTGTGGTGAGCACCTATAGTCCCAGCTACTTGGGAGGCTGAGGCAAGAGAATCGCCTAAGCCCAAAAGTTTGAGGTTGCTGTGAGCTATGACGTGACAGCACTCTACTGAGGGCAATATAGCGAGACTCTGTCTCAAATAATAATAATGATAATAATAATTTCACATACTGTTTCCTGGAGTGTTTCTCTATGCAAATAAAATAATTACACTTATTTTATTTTAGCCCTTTCCTACATAAAAGATAACATTCTATATATATAGTTATGCATCTTTATTTTTTCTCTTAACAATGTACATTAGAAATATTTCCACCTCAATATATAGAGTTGCCTCTTTACTTTTTAAAAATAGCTACAAAGTATTCTTATACAGATGTATCATAGCTCATTTAGCCATATATCCATTGGTATTTTTCTATTTATGGATGCTTCTAATTTTTGTCATCTATAGTTGCAATAAACAATCTTGTATATGCATCATTTTTTTACATATGCAGGAATGGGCTTGGGGTAGGCCACATTTCCAAAGAGGAATTACTGGGCCAAAGGATAAATGCATTTTTAATTTTGATAGATAATGTAATATAATCTTCTCAGAGTCTTCTTAAAGTTGCTAATTTTTTTCAATAAAAAATAGATTTCAGGAAAATGAGCAATAAAATCTAATATATTAACCCTTTCAAGGTATTTTTACCAGAGCAGAGAATAAAAGTTTGAAGTTGAAGAAATCTCTAAATTATGGTATCAATAAACTGAAAGAATACAGAAAGGGACACATCCAATATTCTAGAACTATACCTAACAGACAGAAAAAGATGTTATCAACTGCTCAGTGTCCTAGGATATAACTATTATGTAAAAATCTACTTTAAATATCACTTCCTTGAAAATACGAATTTGATAGATGATGATATTTCATACCTTTGTTAGACTAACTTAATGCCTGAGTAACTAAATCAAGTAGAGTTCTATTCATCTACTTAAAAAAGTAACTATTTAAGTTTGTACACAAATAAGCCACTTCAATTATCTACTTATAAACTATGAGAAACCTAAATTACTTAAATAAAATCTCCTAAAGTTAAATAAGTTTCCTATTATTTTGATTCTCTAAATATTTGCTTATTACATTTTTAACTGAGTTCTTTGAGGCATTTTCAGAATTTCTGGTCTTTGACCTCAGTTATTCAAGTCAGCAAATATATTTTGGCTCTTACTTAGCTATGTAGAATACAAGTACACTATATTCTCTACTCCATTAGCAATTCTGTCATTGACAACTCAAGTGACTCTAACTTGTACATATATGGCCTATGATACTTTCCTTACCACTGAGATCTAAGTCCCTTCATCTTAGTCTTGGATCTCTCCACTCAAATGGCTATACAAAACAAACAAACAAACAAATAAAATAAATAAAACACTACAGGTAAGATAACTATAGCCTACCCTCGAGAAAATAATTCACTTAAGTTTCTCTCTCTCTCAACTTTTTAAATTTTTTAAAGTTTATTTCAGTATATTATGAGGGTACATATGTTTTGTTTACCTAGTTTGCTTCTGTAAATTTTAAGTAGAAGTTATAGTTTCCCTTCACCTAGAAAGTGTGTAATGAACCTACTGAAAGTACCCATTGGGTGGGAATTTCCCCTTCCCCTTCCTTCCTTCTCCCCAACCCCAAATTCATTGAGTTTTGCTTCCTTATGTCTACATAGGTGTTGATCAACTAGTTCCAATTTAGTATTAAATATATGTGGTGTTTGTTTTTCCATTCTTGTGATATTTTACTTAGGAAAATGGTCTCCAATTCCATTGAGGTTGTCACAGAAGATAGTAGGTAATCATCTTTTTATGGTTGAGTAGTCTTCTGTGGAATACATATCCACATGTTATTAACCATTTATGTATTAATGGGCCTTTGGGTTGTTTTCACATCCTTTGTGGTGACTGTGAATTGTGCTGCTATGAACATTTGAGTGCAAGTGTCTTTTTTATAAAATGTCTTTCTTTCTTTTTGATAAATTCCCATTAGTGGGAATGCTGAATCAGCTAGTAAGTCTACTTTAAGTTGTTTGAGGATCTTCATATTACTTTCCATAGAGGACAAGTTAGCTTGTGGTCCTATCAACAGCGCTTGAGTGTTCTCTTTTATTTGTATCCACACCAGCATCTGTTGTTTTAGAACTTTATGATGTAAGCCATAACTTACATCATGTAACTTACACCATGTAACTCACTGGGGTTAGGTGATATTTTAGTTATCAAAAAAAAAAAAAATAGCTCTACATTTCATATGGAATCAGAAAAGACCCCACCTGATCAAAGCAATATACAAACAAGAAAATCTGGAGGCATCACTTTATTTGGAGTTCAGGCTATACTACAAGGCCACAGTAAGCAAAACAGCATGGTAATACCATAAAAATAAAGATTTGAATCGGAATAGAGAATCCAGATATGAAATCATGCCCATATTGCCATCTGATCTTTAACAAAGCAAACCCATACTATGGGGAAAAGAATCCCCATTCAATAAATGGTGCTATGAGAACTGGATAACTACATGAAAAAGACTGAAACAGAAACTGTACCTCTCACCACTACCGAAAAATGAACTCATGAGGATAAAAGACAGGTTCAAGTCTTTTATCCTCATGAGTTCATGAAACTATAAGAATTCTAGAAGAAACTATTGGAAAAAAACTCCTATACATATCAGCCTAGAGAAAAAACTTATGAGAAGATCCCATTGCATTCACAGCAACATTAAAAATAAATAAACTGGACCTGATCAAGTTAGAAAACTTCTGCACAGACAAAGACACAATCACCAAAGCAAACAGACAACTTACAGACTTGGAAAAGATATTTGTATGCTACACATTTGACAGGTGACTGATAACCACAGTCTACACAGAACTCAAACAGATCAACAAAAGAAGATCAAATGACTCCATTAAAGTTGGGCAAAAGACACAAACAGAAACATTTCTAAAGAAGATAGACCAAAGATCAACAAATACACAAAAAAATGATCAACATCTCTCTTTCCAAGCAAATGACAATTAGCTGAATATTTTACCATCTATAATCTTATAAGGAGAATAATTCTTTATCTCCTTGAATGTGGTAAAAATCATTAAAGTTAATAATGACTTTGGCATTCCTACACATAGTCACTGATCACAGGAGAAGCAGACACTGCCGTAGGCTTTGGAGATACAAAGAAAAGTATAGTGTCTCTCCAAAGGATGAGTAAATAAGAAAACTCTACTTGAGTCTGAGATGAACACAGGAGTCCTGGGATAGGGAAGATTGGTTGTGTGATTAAGAAGGTAAGAGCCAGATCACGAGAAATTATTCAGGATAATGGTAGAACAACAACAAATGGACACAAATTTCTGCTTGTTTTAGACATGCAGCTTAAATATCATCTCTTTCTACCCATCCCCCACCTCACTCTCCTCACACAGAGGAAATAATATATTTAATAAGATCCAAACCCATTTAAATTTGAATTTGATCCCTAGAAAATAAAAACTTATGAATATCAAATGAAAATCTCAGCCCTTAATCTAATTTTTATTTGGGGGAGAGAAGTAGTAATGGAGCTAGAATCTTTTTTGTCTAGATTTGGCACTATAGCCAAGTTTTAAATTTTCAGTTAGTTTATGTGCCACAGGAAAATAGCAGACAAAACTTATAAAATACTAATCCAGCTGGAATAGAATCAATACCATCTACCTGTGAAGACTAAGATCAGCTATAATAAGTTA